TGCAAAGGATTCAAGACAATGATCCAGAAAGTGCAAGAAATTGCATTTCTTTCCTTTCCCCACAGAGTGTCCCCATTTCACTATTCGTTGCTCAACAGGCGACCACCTCTTGGAGTAGGTAGTAATTCATTTTTCAGAGGAGCCCACAAAGGTTTGTTAAACATAAATTTGTCCTTTTATAGAATTTATTATATTGGTGTTAACATGACAAACTGAAAGTTCCTTTTTACTTATTACAGGGGGCTTATATTCCTCGGTGAAAGATCAAATGAGGTTTTTTAATGCATACATATATATATACACACACATTGGATTTCTTCTTTTAAAAGTTAAAACTTTTATACTTTGGTGTTTATATAAATATATATAAAAATAATAAAACATAAGTCCCTAGTCAATATCATATTCATATTTTAATTGTTTAGATACTGATTTTATATATTAGATATAAAATTTTACAATTTATAGCTTTTGGAAAATTGTAGCTTTTAGCGTTATAAGTTGTGTTGTTGGCAAGAGTATCTGAGTGCATGAAAGTTGCTTTTTTTCTGAAATACTTGAGCAAATACATATTTTAACTGTAAGATGAAAAAGTAAGTGTGCACTCAAAAAAAAAATTCAATTAGTCTTGCTCAGTTTCAGAACTAAGAGCTCACTTTGAACTCTAAAAATTTTGTTCCAGTATAGATATGACACTGGAGTGCTCTTTGTACACATTTCTGAGACATTTTTTGATCGGTCCACTAATAACTTGTCTTGCAAAGCTTAGAAAAATGTGTTCCTTCAGCCAATGATTTGCAGTGTGATTAGACAAAGGCATGATCATTCTCAGACTTGTGTCTGAGAAAACTAGTGCAATGGACTACAGAAAAAAATCTTGCATTTTTTCATGGGCCAATTAATAAGCCACTTTTTCCCTACCAACAGTTTTACATTCATTTCAGATTGAAGTTGAAACATCAATAAACAATTAATTAGATTTTGTTTTGTACTTTATATTATGTGGCTGAACAGCTAATGCAGGAGTTTAGACAGTTTTAATTTTTTGTTGATTAAAAGCAGAAACAAAACAGACGTGGGCTGGTGAGACCTGGTTTACATCACCAGAACAGATGTAGTGTTCACCAGTAGGGGAGCAGCTTGCACTGAAATAGCTTCCATGACTTGAGCTCAGACTGTTTCACTTGCAGTTCCAACCCCTCAGTCCAGCAGAGAGATGCTCTACATCTGACAGACCCAGAAGGGACCTGGTTAACACATTTTCCCAGAGCAGTATCAGCTGCATAACCAGCCAGACTAAAAAGGCATAAAAAGCACATCTCAGTGTGACTTACAAACATGCACATGTTTAGTTTTACTACCAACAAAGGGAGGTGTGGAGGAGGAGAGCAAATGAGTCTGGAGGAAGAGGTGTAACTGCAGCAGAACAACAAAACCAGGTTTTTATTGTTGTCTTGGGCTTGACAGAATCTCCCTCTGGCCTTGATAAACAGTCCTATTTATCACTGTAGTACTGTGAAACGTGCACAAGATTGAAGAGGTAGCACTTAAAGTTGTGTGACATGAAAAAAAGGCCTTTTAGAAAAATGAATGATTGTATTTTTTTCCCTCGTAGCAAGTAGGGCAATCAAACCTACTGATGCTGGAATACTGCTTTGAGCTAAGACTATCACAATCCAGATTTCCTTAAATGTGTCCCTTTTTTCCAGCTCAACGCTTTCTGTCCAGGTGGGAGATGCTGCTGGCTCCTCAACTTCTGGGTCCATATGCCAGAAAACCTGCACAGGTGGTGCTGGATGCCATACCTTGGATGGATCTACAGGATCTACAGGATCCTGCTGGACTCCCAGGTCCATGTCCATTGCACAGGGGGCTGTTTCTGTCTTGCTATGTAGGAAATCTCTGCAATGAGTTGAAAAATGACAGTAAAGCTCTGTGTGCTTTATTGTAGAACATATATGGCTTACATGAGAGAAAAACTTCTGGATTTTCCCCTGGTACTGGAAGAGGCAGAGTTACACATTTCAGCCAGTTTCTGACTTTTTTCCTTCTGATGTTATGCTTGCTTTTTTTTGCTTTCCTAATTTTATTCCTCTGAGATGATGTCTTGGCCCCTGTAAATTCAAACAAAAAAAAATCTTTTCACTTTTTCCTTTTCTAAATTCTATAAACATCAGTAAATTTCCCTGAGGTGTTTATATTTTTTCCATTAGCACATTTGCATACAATCATATGTTGTCAAAATGGGCTTCTATGCTCTGCTAATCTCTGCTCCTGAGATATGCAGTAGATACATGTGAGAAGATGCAATAAAAACCCTTTAAATGTTAATGCTCTATTGTGCATCCATGTCTCATTGATATTTCTCTCCTGAAACTGTAAGGCGATGTTGAATGTTCAGATGCCATGACAACAACTGGTAAAAAACTTCCTTTGCCTTCTGGTAGTTTGTACAGACAGACTCTTTCAATAGCCTTCTTTTCAACCTGAATTCAGAAGGAAAGAACCTAGAAGTTATCAGACCAGCTGCTCTATACTTAATAACATTTGTAGGTCCGAGTCACTTGGTTGAAGTTACTGTTATCTCACCAAAGCCACCCTTTTCACAGTCAGGGTGAGTTCTGAAATACTCTGGCAGGGAAGAAGAGCTTTCTGTGTGGTTGTTAAAAAGAAGAAAATTATTTCAGAATGAAAGAATCATTAGAGTTCAGAGGACCTTGGAAGTCTTGACTTTGAGTCCAGCCTCCTGCATAAAGCAAGGTTAACACTGAACTTGGGCCAGGCTCGTCTGAGTTTTGCCCAGTTGGGTCTTGAAAACCTCCCAGGATGGAGTTATACAAATTATTTTGTTTCCTGTCCCAAAGCTTGTTTAGCCTCAGAAAAATACCTACCCCCACCCCCAGCCAGTTGGAAGCTCATTTGAAATTAAGTCTCATTTTTCTGTCACACTCCTCTGTTAACAGCTTTGTCTCTCTTTCCTTGGTAACTTCCATTAAGGTGTTGGAAGGTTGCTACTAACTACTCCTAAGCTTTTGTAATGAATGCCAGCTTTTGAGAGGAAAAGGAGTAATTTTAGGACAATGAATGAGCAGTGAGGCTTATCAGGTGGTGAACAGTGTGTCATAATGAGAACTTCCATAGACTTTTGGGGAATATTTGAGATGCTGGTGTAGGCACCTGAGCCAGTGACTAAGTTCCTTTCAGACACTGCATCAGCTATTTCCATTGAGGGTTTAGAAGTATGAAGTTGATCCAACAGGATTCTCAGACTGCTCACAAAAGACCTGAGTGCAAGTTAAGGCTGAATTTGGCTGAACAGCAAAACAGACACAATTTTTTTGCAACTAGAGCACTGGGTTAAATCTGAATTCCCAGCTCCCATTTCTGATGCAGACAACCTCCCCGTAGGAACCTTTATAGACTCAGTGACATCAATCTGCGCATCCATAATTACAGTCTACATGCCATTACACGGCAGCCGTGCACGGAGCTCGTGCAGCCCTGGGAGAATCAGCCAGGCCTGCAGCAAGCTCTGGCATAGAAAATGCAAATCTCTTTGCAGATAAGGAACATCTCCCTCCAAATATAGATGAGCTCACACTCACCCTGCTAATAACAGGCTATACTTCTCTTCAGTAAGATTACACAAAATTAAGCAGCAGATCCCATGAGGACACTGCCAGTACGCTGTACTTCGAGGTACGCGCGTTCTGGGATCGCTGCAAAGTGAGAGACTGTGGACAAATAAAAACGGTGTCTAGGGAAGCACTGAAATCGACATAAATTGAATTACTTTCTCGACTTTATTTAGTTAGACATGTAAAAGTACAAACACAGTCATACCAATACCTTAACCTGTACACAAACATTACTTTTCGCTCCAGCGAAAGTGTTCCAAGTATTGGAAAAGTACCAACTATCCCCCTAACAAGAAGTTATACAAAGAAATAGCACTGCTGGGTATTGTGAAGTCAGGCACGTGAGCAAAACCCATCCTGCACAGCTGGGCATTTTTATCCCAGTTAAAGGAGGACAAATCCGTATTCAAAAGGTATGTTTAATACAGTTGATTAACAGTTTTGATCTAGATCAAGAACTCCGTACATAACATCTCTGAAATGCAGCCACTTCAGAAGACGGAAAACTGTGTGTTTTTCGAGGGTTAGCCAACACTGCGAGGGCACCAGCCAGGCCCAGTGGGTTGTGTCGTAGCCTCAGGCCAGAGACCCGGCTGGCGGGTGACACCTGTGATGTCCCCGGGAGCCGCTGGAGCGCGGTGCTCCAGCCCCTCAGGAAACATCCCGCGTAGACTGCAAGGCCCTGGAGCCGCAGCCCAGAGGCGGGAAGCAGGCGTGAGGCACGTGCCGAGCCGTGAAAGCCCTGACGGCCCGGGAGCGCGGCCCAGACCCGCTCCTGGGCACCGACTCCCCTCACAGCGGCCCCGGCGCGAGGCGGTCCCTGCCCCGCTCCCGCCCCGGGGGTGCCCCGCGGCCGGACCGACCCCCGGCGGTGGCCGAGCGGAGGGTGGCGGCGCGGGCGGAGCCGCCCCGGCGCGGCGCCTTTGTTCGGAGCGGCGGCGCGGCCGGGGCCGGCGGTCCCGCCGCGTTCATGGCGGGGGCGCGGGGAGCCCCGTGGGCGCTGCCCGCCCTGCCCGCCCGGGAGCCCGCGGGCAGCGGCTGCCGGGGCTCGGCGCGCTGAGCGGCGCCCGTGTCCGGCGGGGGCGCTGCGCGGGGCCCGGCAGCCCCGGCGGAGGGGGCCGGGCGGGGCGGGCGCCCGCAGCCCGCGGGGGCCCTGCCCGGCGTGGCTCGGCGCTCCGCGGACTCCCGGGCGGCGCCGCTCCGCTCGCCGGACCCCGCCTGGCCCGGACCCCGCCGCGGGCGGCCGCGGAGCCCTCCCGCGCCCAAACTTTGCAAAGTCTCGCAGCTCCGCTGCTGGGGCGGCAGCGGCTACGGCAGCGGCGGGCGGGGGCGGCGGCGGAGGAGGCGGGGGCGGAGGGGGCGGGGTGCGGGCCGGCGGCGGCGGCGGCGGCGGCAGCAGCATCAAAGAGCCCCGATTCCTGCCGCCCTGGGAGCCATGCGCTGCTGTCTGTAATGTCAGCGGAACAGGATAAGGACCCCATCGCGCTGAAGAGATCCCGAGGTACGGGGAGGACCGGGCCGGGCCCGGGGGCGGCCGCCGGCGGGGCCTGTCTCCCGTGCGGAGCGGCGGCCGAGCCGCGGGATGCGCGCACCGCCCGCGCCGCCGCTGCCCGCGGGGCTCCCGCCGCGCAGCCCCGGCCGGGCCGCCCCCACGGCGCTCGCTGGCGGCGGGGCCGGCGGCGCGGGGGCCGCGCGAAGTTTGCTCGGTGGGGCCCGGTCGGGCCCCGCGGGCTCCCGCAGCCGCCGGGCCTGGAAAAGCGGCGGCGGGGCTGGCGGTGCGCGCAGGTGTGTCCCGTGGGGCGGGGGGGGGGCGTGCGGTCCTGGCTCCGCTGTGTCTGGGGATGTGCGGCGCATTAGTATGCAGCGAGCATAGTGCTGGTGCAAGGGAATACGGCGGCGGTGCCACATGTCCGAGTTCGTGCTGATGCAGAGCCCATAAATTACACTTGAGTGTAATTCGCTCTTCTACCCGCGGTCTCGGCTCTTGTGCTTGAGTCTGGCTGGGGTTTTGTCTTTCCCTTTTCGGGAAATGAAAACAATTATCGAAATACTATCCTTTATTAATAGCACCGGTTTGTGGCTCTGGTGAGCTTTGGAGTGGTGCGTTTCTTTGAAAGGTATAGGGAGAAGGGTAGAAATGCGGCGTCTCCTGCGAGTTCGGCAGTGCAGCCGACTTTAATGGCAGTGGCACATCAAGCCTGCGTGGCGGTAGTTGTGTCCTTATAGCCTTTAAAATCAGAAATGCTTTTCTGAATAAAATAACGAAAGGTGGCAGGCTGAGTGACTGAGTTGGGGGAAAATCATGGCAAAATTATAAGATCTGCCGTTTAGTGCTTCTCTTTTTCTCACCTCCTGTTTTGCCTCTGGCATTCTATTGTTCCTGATGTTTTAAGCTTTTTTCCTGGTTGAGTAAGTGATGAAAGGTGTAGATTCTGATATGCATATTGTCACTGATTTACAGTTTGCTTTTCTAAAACTGTTCTGGTAGCAGCTGGATTGCAACCTTGAGAGAACGAAAACACACAACAGCGTTACAAAGGAGACTGGCATTCATTAGACTCCTCCACTCTCAAGCCCTGATTCTGCAAATATTTAAGCATATATGGTTTCACATGCCTGAGTTACCCACCAAGTTCCACGCGATTACCGCTTAATATTAACTCTGTTTACAGTGTTGGGGCCACAGCATAGACTCACCAAATCTGGGTGAAATTGGACTACTTTTAGTTTCTCTGTCCATCATGGAAAGTTTATTTAGCCATTTACGTTTCCTGGGAAAATGTTCTTACTGAGATAAATCACTGTTTAAAAAGCCTGTGGCATCCATCCTGTAGAAACCTAGACAGAGATTTGTCAGTGAGTATGAAAATACTCCATAGTGTATTTGCAGTATGTTAAGTATGGCATAAATTACATGCAAAGTCATAAACTCTTAATATGTAAATAAAACTACAAGTTTCAGTTCTGACTAACACCGAAGATGTCCATCTTGTGCATGTATGAAGTAAAAAAGAATGCAGGGTTTACCTTTTCTCCTTTGCCCAAATGTGAATGGCTGAAATAAATTCAATCTGGAGTTTTATAATAAGGGAGTAATTATCAGATACGTATTTGTATCTCTAGATCTATTAGGTATTTGATGTCCCAGTCAAAAGGATTGTATTTTTGCCTGAAAAACTAGTCTTGGACAATGAAATAATTTCTCATTTGTGCAGTATTCTAAAATGCTCAGTACAGCTTTAATGAAAGTCTGTGTGGTAGGTACCAAAAGTGACTGTGGAAAGTTTATTTTGGCTGCATGAAAATGAGCCTTATTCACTCTTTTTTGGAGGTATGCTAGGACTAACATTTCGTTTCCTTTCATGTATAAATTAAATCATTAGAGAATCCACAGGGAAAATATAAATTCTTAGGGATGAATCAAATCATTGGCCTCACGTGGCGAGAACTGAAAATACAAAAGCTTTGTGCCTTTCCAGATGAAGGACTTGCTTCTGTAAACCTAGGCAAATGAATGGCTTCACCCATGTAAGTAATTCAGGTAGAAGTTGATGGAACTTGTCACTAGAATTCTAATATTCATATACTTGTGGTTTTGAAGAATGATATCCCTGAGAGGGAATTTATACATAATTTCATGAAGTTTTAACTTATACTACCATAAACCAGCATTTGCATATGATCCCCAGTATTCTACTTGATCACAGATTTACTGATGTCTGTGCTGCTAGTTGTTGAATTTATTAAAAGAAATCTGGATATTTGTAATATTTTGCTAACAGTGGTTGAAGTCATTGATGCATTAAGAGTGCAGGGCCACAAACAGGAGTGTGTTTTATGCAGTTGTGAGGATTGGTGTTCACAGTACAATCTTGCACTGAATTTAGTGTAAACTTACATGAATGCTGCAGAAGAAGCTTAAGGAAAGTGCAGGGACAGTTTTGAGAAAGTAGATTATCATTAAGATGACTTATAGAGTTGAAATTTAGGGGAAATTTGCCATCATTCTTCATGTAAACCTTTATGCTATAATTATTTAATATCTGCAGCTAATGCAGGGGCAATCTGTCATAGCACACTAAGTATATGCAGGATTTTATATTCTAAAACAAGGCAAAAAGGACTCTTAGAAAGAGTAATCCCTAGTTTCTCTGATGATGATAGGTTAGACCACAATATGCTATGTACAAGTGTGAGTTTATTTTGAGAACCTGATCATGACTTCATGCCCTTGTATTTGAAATTCAGACTTAAAATTTGATGGGTGTTGATCTGGGGGGTCCATATATCTTCCTTATGTATAATGAAAAATGCAATTAAATTTCCACAATGACAGCTAAAGCCAGAAGGAACTTAATACAGCAAAGATAGAGCTGGATTGTGACTTGAGGTAGAACTGGCAAATTCCCTGAAACCTCAAAAAAAAAAAAAGGAGGCAGGGAGAAAGGAAGTGCAAGGAGTAAAAATTTGCCAGGCCTCCTTTGATCAGGAGTATTTGAAATAACTGTTGGATATTTCATTCTGTATACATTAAGTCTGCCTTGCCCCTGTGAGAAGAGATTTTTTGTAACTTACTGAATAGTCCTAAAGCTGGTTTACCTGTCTGCTGGGAACACTTGTCTAACAGAGCAGTGTAATGTCATATGCTGCTTTGCATAATTCTGTTGGTAATTCACAGTTATCTTCAGGTTGCTTTTGGTAATAAAGACTTGTGTGTTCAGCTTTGTGCTTGCATCTTGATAAAGTTTGACTTGTATTCTGAATGTGAGTTTTAATCAAAAAACAGTACGATTTTTAAGTTGGATTGCCTGCTTATTGTTCTATACTGTTACTATATATAAAAGAGCAAATAGGCTGTTATATTAGCCCTGGAAAGAAAAAAGAATTAACATAGTTTATTAATGTAATGATGTTATTACTGTAACGTGTGTTGCTGTCATGTCACCAGATAATGCTTTTTGTACTTCAGGGTTTTCTTTGCATTCCCATATGATGGCAATTTCACTTGAGCCCCATCAAGACAGACTGACTGGGATAATGAATGTGCTAGATTTTTTTTTTTTCATCTTTGGTCTAACTAGGGCTTTAAAAAATGAAAGATTTATACAACTTTGAGAGCTTGTCCTGCTGTTATGAAAGGTGAAGAAGAATCCCAGGTGAAGTACAGATATCTCTTTGTACTGCTCAGGGTAAAGTCTGATTGAGTGACCAATGAAATGAACATTCTTTACTTCTTTTTGTGCCAGAGCCTTGCTCAGTTATTCTGGGATGTTTCTGCAGGTTCACTCAGAGCCCCTCTTATTTTTGGCAGGTGTCTTTTTGTTGGATCAAGTCTTGCATTTAGTGAAATTTAGATCTGATAAATTGGAGATCTGTCTAAACGACAGTGTTTTTGTTTATGAATCTACTGCTGTTTGCTTTTCCTTCACGGTGGATTGTAACACACTGTTGTGTCTTGCCACAGTGAGTTTGATAAATGCTGTGTCTGTGTAAGTTAAATAAGAGGTGAATCTTAGGCATGGCTTAATGCAGTTCCTTTGAAAGTTTTATGAGTTACGCAAACAAGAAATACTTCTAACTATTGGAGTTGTTAAGAACTGTTGGAGTTGTTAAGAACCAAGGGACAGATAAACATAAAATAAATGGAAATGTTTATTCCAATGGTAATGAGCACGAATTGGATGTTAAAGTGGTAGTAGAGTAAGACAGCACACAGGAGGTATGTTAATTTACCTCCAGATGTTTGCTCCTTAAGGACTTGCAATGCAAGGCCCCAGAGTTAATGCAAGTTCAGTATTTATAACAGATATCTATTGCCGTGGCAGTCAGAGGCAAACTTACAACATGGTCTGTAAGAAAACTAATGCACTATTGCACTGATTGAAATTTTGTAGGTGGTGACAGTGGATTGGATGGGTTAGGAGGACCAGGAGTTCAGCTTGGAAGCCCCGATAAGAAAAAACGCAAAGCAAATACACAGGTAAATTCTCTTTTGATTTCTTGGTAAATAGAGCACTCAGATATTGTTTGCTGGTGCGACTGTCTCGCATTGTTCAGAGTATCTGTTGTCACAAATAGCAGCTATGTACAAAATATTCCAGTTTTACCATGAAGTTGAAGTCTTCCTAATACTAGTTATTTGCACTAAAGTTATTTTAATCTCTGTAGGTTGCCATAGACCTGTATAGAGAGGAGTACAGAGAGACTGCAGCGACTTATATTTTTACCATATGGATTTGATTCTGAGACAGACTTTTTTTTAATGACTTTGTAGCCATTTGTAGAAGTCTGTACAGCATGAGTAGTTGCCATGAGACTACTTCTCTCCTTACTTTCATTTCATTATGTGTAAGTTTGTGGGCTAATGAATCAGAACAGTTTGTTAATGCTTTGACCAAATTCTTGGCGTGCTCCTGAAGTTATTTTCAAGCCAAAGCTGTGTGGCCAGTACAGCTCTTTTCAGTGAATCCCTGCAATTTGACATTTCTATAGAGTTTTTCTTTCTGGAAAAGAAAATCTGAATACAAAACCTCTTAAGCAGTTGGATACCTGTAGTGCAGAATTTCCCATTGTGCGTTCATTCAGCTTTGAGTGAGAGTATCTGTTAGTTTGGTACTGCCCAGTGAGAGTTACCTTACTTATGTAGGTCAAACAATCACTTTCTGTTAGGCCTATCCACAGTCCACTGAGGTGTGGATCTGTTTTCTTAATTTTTGTTTGGTTTTAAAGTAGTTGTGGTGAAACCTGCTCTGAGAAATGTTCAGTTACTCCGAAATGTTTCAAACTTCTCTCTTGGTGGAGCTTACCTTGTGTTCAGGAATGGTAATAACTGCAGAGGCTATGCAGACTAGCTTCTGTTCTTCTCTTACCTGGTTCAAAATTTACAGTGCAGCAAATTTTATTTTATTTTATTTTTTTAAAAACAAATGCTCAGTCTTAGTTTTTTTAGTACTTAGGAGGAAATGCCTTCTGTGAGCACAGTTAGTGTAGGGTGAACCCAGTAGTTTCCCTGCAGGCTAGTCTAGAATGAATTTCAATTGTATAGCCACTTTGGTGGCATTTAAACAGCTTCTGGGCTCTGTTAAACACTGTAACTAGAGTATAATCCTTGCATTTTATGCCTACTACCTATGCTTTGCAGACTGTCGACAATCACTGAATGCTCATAAGGGATACCTCTTTTTGGTATAGAAATCTACACAGTGTAGAATATTCTGCAGAATATAGAAAATTGCTATATTCTATATGCCTTCTTTTAGGGTTATAGTAACACTAGGTTTATATTCTCATAGAAGTAGGGTGTCTTAAGAGGTGTATATTCAGTAACATCAACCCAAAGTGAGACTAAGGAAATGCTTCAGCATTTGGAAATACTTTGCTCATGTGTTTGTGCACTTGGCTTTCTGTATTGTTGCTTGTCTTTCATAAAAGATTAAGAAAGAGAAGTCTCATATCAAGTAGTATTTTCAGAAGTACGGTTGTGCAACTGCAAAATTTTTAAAACACTGAGACTGCTATAAATTATCATATTATCTGGAGCACAGACTCCTCTTTTGCCTCTGTACTGAAATTTCAGACAGCCTGGCAGGATACAGTGGGTGAGTTTTACACAACAGCTGAACAGTTCTTTCAGCAGTAGTACTGGTAATCCAGGACCTTTGTGGTTGGTCTGTCTTGCAGGGAAATACTAAAACTAATTTAAATGTTGTATTTAAAATATTTGTAGGGATCATCATTTCCTCCTCCATCTGAATATGCTCCACCGCCGAATCCAAGCTCTGACCACCTTGTAGCTGCAAATCCATTTGATGACAACTATAATACTGTGTCTTATAAACCGCTTCCTTCAGGAAATCCATATTTTAGTAATCCTGGTTATCCTGGCTTTGGAGGCTATAACACTTTCAGAATGCCACCTCACATGCTGCCCAGAGTGTCCTCACCATATGGTGGTTCTTACTCCCTCAGAAACCAACCACATCCTCTTCCTCAAAACCCTGTGGGCATGGGTTTCAGTCGACCCCACTCTTTCAGCTTTGGTCCACATGATAACCCAGGTTTTGGGAATCAGCCCCCTTATAGTGGTGGTCAGATAAATCAAAATGTCAGTATGCCTGCTCAGCATTTCAGGCCAAATCCTGGGGAGAACTTTGGCCATTCTGGTCAGATACCTCACCCTGACGTGCCATCTAATTTTGGTCCTGGAAACAATCCAAATTTTCCAAATTCTCAGCTAGAGTCAAACCATTCTTTTGTTCCTCCACCAAACACGTACAACCAGACAAAATCATCAGCACAGAAGCAAGACTTTAATCAAGGTGCAAGCAAAACATCCAGCCAGAACACTGCTACTCATCAGCATCATCACAGGACAGAGGACATTGTGAGTCAAGGTAACAGTGACCTAAAAAATGTTACTCGAAACAATGTGGTAAATCAGGATAATAGCCATTCCAACAGTGCTGATAACACCAATTCTGGGCATTCCAATGGGACTCAGAGTAAGTCCCGCCAGCCCCGAGGCGCTGCTGAAGGATGCAACTCTGAAAAGAGCAGCAAAACACCCCTTCATCCCAGTCGTCATGGTCACTCGTCCTCTGAACCTGTCTACCCATGTGGGATCTGTACCCATGAAGTCAATGATGACCAGGATGCCATCCTGTGTGAAGCCTCTTGTCAGAAATGGTTTCATCGGATCTGCACAGGCATGACGGAGTCAGCGTACGGCCTCCTCACGGCAGAGGCATCGGCAGTCTGGGGCTGTGATACTTGCATGGCTGACAAAGATGTCCAGTTGATGCGCACGAGAGAGACTGCAGGACCACCTGCACTGAACACAGAAGGCTGACAGCCTCAGGTGGTGTGGTGGATGAAATACGTTTTATGAAGTTTTGGTTACAAATTGGGTACTTCACTTTCTGCAGACAATCAGTTGTGTTTGATTGCTGTCATCTTATTTTTTCCCCTAATCTCTTTTCATTCATAAACTTCCATCTCAGCTTTTGGATTCTTAGTTTTATGTGTGCAAATGTTTTACAGGATGGAATATTTTTTGTTTCTGATTAAGCTGTAACTGACAATTGATCAGAAGTAGGATGTGCATTGACAATTTTATTGAAGGAAAAAAATGTGCCTGTATGAATAGCCCTAATTTGCTAGTATTAATGTGTCAACTAACACTAGCATTTAGCACTCAGTTTTAATGGTACTATATTTGCAAGTACTCATTACTTTTTTTTTTTCTTGGGTGAATGTCTGGTGATGTTCTTGCTAACCTTTCTTTGAATATAGTGGAGATGACATGGAGGAATGTGCAGTACTAATAGTTGTTATTTTAGGGTAAATACAGAGAATTTTGTATGTGCTTTTTCCTATTTTTTGAAGTAAAGCATTAACATGCTATTCAGAAATTGATGAATTCATAATTAGTAACACAATGAAACCTGCTAACTCTTACACATTTCTATTTCCTTGAAAAGGCAATAATCTCTTTTGACTTTTCAGCAAACACTTGCTGAAGGCTCTTGCTGGGTCTTGCAATATTTGGAAATAGTTATGAAATATGACTAAATTGGAAAAAGAACAGATCAAGTTTATGAAATCCAGTGCTTTAAATCTAGAGAATGCCAAAACTAGGGTTGCATATGTAACCTTAACTCATTTATCTTGAGCACATCCATTAGGATACAGTGTCCACGTGCGTCACGGTTGTGCAGTTATGCACCTCTCTCTCATCCTTTCTCATTGATGGTTCCAGTCTCCTGCCTCAGTGCTGCCTAAGAATTGTGAATGAACTAGTGCATGGAAAATCCTGCCTGTCTTCCAGGGCTCTCAGATAGAACCTGCTCAGTCACCCTGAGCTTACACAGTCCACTTGGCATGAAGGAGGGTGCAAGGCAATGGAGTGTGCTCTGCACAGGCTCTGAATGGCATGATAATTTGGCCAGCAAAGTCTTAAAACTAAATCCCCACCACTGCCTCAGCCAGTCTTGCAGTGAGGGGGTGGGAAATCTAGGGTGAAGAAAAAAAATACAGCTTTCATATCAGGTGAGTTTAGCTCAGGAGTAAGTAATGAGAAGTTTAAGCTTCTTAGCTAAACCTGATATCCTACTGACAAGTATGAGTGGCACTAGAGCTTCTGTGTGATGCTAGGAATTCTATTTTAATATGGGTAATTTGATCTTATTCTTGATCTCAAAAATAACTCTCCTTTTTTTTTTTTTTTCATGTGGGGAAACATCTAGCCTTGAACAGTTCAGCCTTAGTGTGATAAAGTTGCATATGCAACTGAAGAAGTGTTTCTTTAGGGAGAAGTGTTGTTTTGACTTAATAAAAGAAGGCACTGTAATAACAGACTCTGCTTGTAATACTCACCAGTGTGCTGGAAACTTAGTCTTTAAACAGGAATTAAATCATATGTCAAGCTTACAGATGCCAGTCACGTTCCTTAATATCATAAATTTTTCAGGTCTGTGAGGATGAGTGATGTAGGAGCTGATATAGAATACAATCTTCTAAGTAAAGAGGTAGTTTTTAAGATAAGCTATGCTATTGGGTGAAAAGTAAGGCCTGTTTGCTAATTTACCATTGTGTTTAATTTTAAATGGGCTCTACTGTGGTACATTCCTGGAAGATACTGTGCAGACCTGCATAACTTTTCTTGTTTTATTTTAAAAGTGAAAAATTTTGCTGGGTAAGTGCGGTATTGCCCCCTTTTTTTGTCTTGCCTCTCATCAGGAAAAAGAAAATAATGTCTAAAGTGTAAATGACATATTTCATATCTTGAGGATTTTCTGTATGGAGATATAAAAGAAAGTGTAAGGCAGATCAAGGGCTTCTGTTTTCATCACCAGTTGCTTTAATTTAGTACAGAAACCAGACTTAATCTTGTTTTGTTGGAGGTGTGATATTTAAAAACAAACAACAAAAAAACCAACCAAGCAACAACCTCTGTTAAAGAGATTTATTCTTCAGTAGTTTTCCTAATGACTGAAAGACTGTTAGAATTTGCTTTTGGTACTAAAGTAGCAATTAAACCAAACCTTGTTTAGATAGATTTGTTCCTCTGGGAATCAGTTTAATCTCTGCAACAATTTACACTGTGAAAGTAGTGGAGCTGGTTCACACCTACAGCAACATAAATGAAATAAAAAATATGCTCAGTGAAAATTCAACAAAACCAATGATGATATTGTTACCTTTCCCACTCCCACACCCCTTGCCTGTTGTGAGAAAATTTTTGGGGGCATTTTTTTCTCAGAAGTCGAATTAATGATTTAACATTATGGAGCAGACATTTTATTTAAAATAGCCATGTATTCCTTAATTTCTTCACTGACCCTACATGAAGTTAGGCAAGTATTTTCTAGATTAGCTGTCAAGGCATTAGTGTCCTTAGAAACTTAAAGTCAACTGGAATATCATTCTATAAGGCCTTAAATTGTGTATTTGTGAAACTTACTCTAACCATTTATTTTGTTTTTTCCAAATTGATACTATGTTGGGTTTGTAACCCAGTACATTTTCTGCATTCATTAACCTGCAAATTCAAGGCATTAGCAAATGTCGATTACATCAAATAAAACCAAGTGAACAACAAAACTCAAACTTGTTAGCACACTGATCATAGAGATATGACTGATGAAGATCTCCAAAAGTCATCCAGCTGATATACTTGCCCTACTGATACACTCTTGGCATACTTGAACTCTTTATCTAGAGAGAGGGTTATATTTTGTTTTTCTCTGCATGTATTGACTAGTAGTAGTTCAAGTATGCACAGGAAAAACAGCAATCATGTTTTATTAGTAAGGTCCTAGGAAAATGACGGCTGATTAGAATTAGAAGTTAGTTATAGAAGGGTGGGTGGGAGGGAGGGAGGGTTGACTAGAGTAGGTGAGGGGTTTTGTAATATTCTACATGAAACAATTTGTATTGAACTATCATGTGCTTCTTTCATTACTAGTGATTTAGACTGTACCGGTGCTGCACACCAAAAATATTGCAAAGATTTTGTAAGTCTTGCAAACCTTAACATTTTTATGGGAAGTACTCATGTCCCTTTTAAATAATTCCTTGTCATGGTCAGAAATGCAGCCTATATTGCCCAAAATGTTTTTGTTGTTTTATTTTCCCCTGGGCTGAAATAAATAAGTATAAACTGGACTGTACTGTCCTTAATACTTTGGGGTTTTTCGCCGGTGATCATTTGTAAATGAGAAAACGTGCTTTTCTCTTTAAAACACTTGTTTTATTGGTCAGGGTAAATGACAGTGCTGTATATAAGACAGCAAAAATCCTGTTTCTTGCTGTTTTACTGATCCCTTCTACAGCTCGAGACAAGCAGGTTAAGTATGCCTGCCTCAGTCTCCTCTTTCAGCAGATTGGATTAATCCTTACTTCCCGAGGTTGTTTAGAGGCCTAGTTATTATCTGAGATCTTCAGATGCAAGAAACTAGAGAAAAGTAATGAAGTTTGCTCTACTTAAAAATACAAATTTTAGGGCTGCTCAAAGAAGATTATACTTTGTGACCTCTGAAGTTTTTAATCTAAGAACCAGTTTTGTAATCACATTTTTCAGCTTAATTTCAAGCATGTGAGAATTAATGACGTTGGTGGAACTGCATGCACACAGTCAAGAATGTTTCAAAGTGTTTGCAGTTTGAGGCCTGTGATATTTGCAAGTGAAATGCTTCTGTGGTTTGAGATTTTTTACAAAATCAGTGGTGTTCAAATGTAGCACCTTTTTAACATTTGTCTTTATACCAACTTGATACAATAACACATTATCTGCGTTAGGTACATCCCTTTCATTTTATAAATAAACATTGCCTGGCAGTAAAAGTATTGGTGTAACATTTTTAAAAAAGGAAGTCATGCTTCTTATCATGTTGTATGTGACTTAAATGACTGTTTCATATTAAAACTAATCTTTCCTTATGTACTGCTTAAATATACCTGTTTTGGGATATCAGTTCAGTACTTTTTATACAATCTTGAATGTGTTCCACATTGGTGACATGTATTTTTGCAACAACTTTTTTGTTTTGATTTTAAATTAGAGCATGTCTGATGTAATACATGCATTAGTGCTGTGGTGTGTGGCAAAGTTAATGTATGTAATTCAAATTGGAAAAGTTTCCAGACTTTGTCCAACATTAGCCCTGTGGCCAGGGATTAAATTACTATGTAATACAAATTATTTCATACCATGATGTGTTTTAAGCTACTCTATGAAGTATGTGAAACATTATTGTTTATGGATTGGTAGCTGGTGTGGTATCTTGCATAGAATGAGGTATGATAGGTGGTAGCAATTCATGATAACTAAAACTAAATACCTTTCAGAACACACAGCACTGGTGTGCATTGTCATCTTGTTGCCATAACTGTTAGTAGGAATTTTTTAATATTATCCACTGACAAATGGGTGAACATTTGGTAATCAGCTCATGGGTGTGAAAATTCTACTCTAACACTCTTTACTTGGTTTACAAAACATAATTTTTTAATCTATTGGACGTGATTAGATATATACAGGAGGGTGTAGAACGATGTATTTTCAAGTTATTCTGCAATTGCTAAGTTTTGTCTAAAGCTTTCTATATTAGAATAGATTCTTCCTTAAAATTGGAAACTAAGTGTACTTAGCAGAACTCTTTAAGGCAATATAATTATCCTACATACATCTTGAGTTATGCACATTCACTTCTTTATATGGAGCTCCTCTGAATTTCTTGCTTTATATATAAAAAAGGGTCCCTTTAGTGGCCTAGTGTTGTGTGTCATCAGTTCTGAGGTAATTAATTCTGAATGGTGTTCAGCCCCTTAGAGGTGCTGCCTATAACTTAAAGCCTTCAGTGTCGCCCGTAGTCTCCTGGTTTAGAAATGGCTTATCCCAACACCTTGGGAATACCTATTTCTGTATTGTTTGCCATACATGATTAATTTCCCTTTTCATCTTCAAACAAACTGTCTGTCTCAAAGTAGTTTTTGATCCTACCCCACCTTTTTACTTGGAGATTTGTGCACTGTATTTCAGGAATTGCTGTACTGGAGGCAGTTTGGGATTGGAGGCCTGAGAGATGCCGTGTCTATTCCTCGACATTCATCTTCTGCTCTACAGGATGCTCTAAATCTGAACTTCCATATAACTTAAGGAGGGCAAGCTTTTAATATATTTCTTCTTTTTTTTTTCCCTTTTTTGATATTTTTTTTTTTGTGAAGCATGAAATAAGAGAGTTGTTAGGGATTTTTATTTAAAAGATGGCCTTTCCTCCAAGCTTTTTTATGTGGCCTTTAGAGCAAATACTGTGTTCTTCAGGGCCTTCTGACTTGGAATTTTTTTGTCCACATTCTCCTTTCAGTGTCAAAGGTGAGTTGAAAAAGGCAAGTTACCAATCTACTGCCATCCAAACAATGCAAAATGTAAGACAATGAAGAGTGTTGACATTTAATTTTTTTGTTAGTTTGTTAATAATGATGTGACATTTTTACCTTTCAGAAGAACATGTATCAGAATCTGATTCAAGTGTTCTTGGAAAATGTATGTGGTAGATTTTGTCTGGCACTGTATGTAACTTTGTTGCTTTCTGTTGTCTGGTTTGAGTTCCTTTTAAAATAAAGATAATTTTTGCGGGGAAGTTGCCGGTTGACTTTATGAAGGTGATGTAATGCCTAGACTGACTCTGCTGTTGTTTCACCTGGGAGAATGCATTTGGATTAGGTGTAATCCTGCAAGAAACAGTATGAGGTCATAGTGATCAGAAAAGACAGTTCCTCCCTCTCTAGGAGAGCTCTGCTGTTCTGTAAAGGTGTTAATCTGAAGTAACTTCAAAGCAGATTAGAAGAGGTCTTGCACCTTCAGCCCCATTTCTTTCTTTACAGGATGGGAGGGAAGGCTTGAGTACCATTTGTCTGAATTTTTTTTTTTTAAGTAATTTTCTGTTCCTGGGAAGAGATTAATCAAAGAATTATTTATTCTAATTTATAAAATTATTACAAAGATCTTCCTGTTAGTTAAAATGCCAGACTAACACATACCAAATCACTGCCTTGCCAGTGATATTTAAAAGCAACTGATACAGGTGGTCCCAAGCTACATATGGAAAACATGTTATTGTAATAAACAGTCTCATAAAATGTTCCTTCTCTGTGTGAAAGATATGGGGGGATAATAGAAATGAGAGAGAATTTAGAAAAGATGGGAGGAAAAAAGGTTAATAAAGATAAGAAAATGTAAGATATTTAAAGGATTCCCCCCCCCCCCATGTATTAAAGCCTCTGAAGCCATTAGAAGTAAAATAACCCCAGAAAAGATGGATGTGTATATTAGCAGCTGGAAGGTCCAGAATATTACTAATATTATTAAGATTTGTCTGGAATGTACATCTCTATCCTTCATAGCACAGGGGATGGGAATTTAGGAATTAGGTTTTTAACTGAATATTTTTTCTTTTCACCACGAAGTTTCTTGCACTGGAAACTTTTCACTACAAACTGTTAACTGATAAAGTTAATACCAACAGAAGAACAATCCTGAATGTTAATTTTGCATGTGTGTCATGATAGGAGCACAGCCATTTGTCCAGGTAAGCCTGCAATGTGGAGTGTGTGGGATAGAGGTGGTGTTTCTGCAGATATACATCAACACAAGACTTCTAATGTTGATCCAAGACCTTGCTGAGTCCCTTTTGTGTCCTTCAGCAGCTAAATCTGCTACTTTGACATAAAAGTGTGTTAGTGGTATTTACTGTGTCTTCTACAAGCTTTGCATTGGAGATCTAGCTTTTCAGTAAATAGACTTTTTGTTGCTGTATTGGAGCTCTTTAATGTAACTTAAGAAGACCAAATACTGGTAACCATAACTGTGTCCTATCTTGTAAAGCATGTATGAATAGTGTGGTCTTTCTAGCAGGATAAATAATAAGCTGCTTCATTTCAGTATATTCTGTGTGATTAAACAGAAAGTGACACCTGAATGACCAAGGCAGAAGACCAGCACTCAAGAAATCTAAGACTTACAGTCCAGGAATGAACTCTCCATAACTGGATGACTGCGGCTGCATTCTGGAGTGGTGGGAGATTTTAAGTTACTATTGCATTCTAACAATTCTAGCCAATGCTGCTATATATTTTGAATACTCTTAGAATGAGGAACTTAATTCACTTCTCGGATTCCAGTCCATGCAAGCATTCATCCAGATGATATTGATGTGAGTGAGAGTGGAGAATAACCCAGAAATCATTATCAGTTATGCTGGATTTCTTGCTCTGAAAAAGTTTTAAATACCTACTTTTATATATCCATAGATATAGATATACACAGTACTTAGAAGTAACCACAACCCTTTCATTGCTTTGGAATATAGGTAATAGAATATAAAACTTAAATTTTCGGTGACACACATCGGATATCCTAGCTAATGTGTACAATGTTAAACTCCATTTTCCTTGGTCATATTTTAAAGGAAAGGGGAAAACTAGACCTTTTGGTTCTGGATTTTTCCAAACAGCTCTAGGTAATGGTGTACTTTTGAGGAACTTCCACATACCTGAATTTTTATCTGTGTTTGACTTGTCTTTCAAGCCATATTCGCCAGAAGCAGTTACTTTCTATATACTAACTTTATTTTTGCAGATACAGTGTTACTGTTTGAGGAACGTGGAGCATGTGCAAACTACCTCCTGAGTTTTTGGCAGACAGTACAACAGACAACATTGCGAGGCAATAGCGTGGAGCTGCTGGTATGACCCAGTTATTTTTAGGGGACATCCGGAAGTTTCAGTGCCAGCATTGCCAGTAGGTTGAGGAAGGTGATCCTGCCTGTGTGCTGAGCCTTGGTGAGGCCACACTGGGAGTACTGTGTGCAGTTCTGGGCTTCTCAGCACAAGAGAGACATGGAGCTCCTGGAACAGGTTTAGAAGAGGGCAACAAAGTTGGTCAGGGATCTGGAGAATCTCTCTAAACAGGAAGGCTGAGGGATCTGGGCCTGATCAGCCTCAACAAGAGGCTGTGTATAAATATCTAAAGGGAGGGTGTAAAGAGGATGGAGCCAGGCTCTGCTTGGTGATGTCAACCAGTAGAACCAGAGGCAACGGGCAGAAACTGATGCCCTGGAAGTTCCAGCTGAACATGAGGAAGGACTTCTTTCTTGTGCAGCAACCAAACACTGGAACAGATTGCCCAGAGAGACTGTGGAATCTCCCTCACTGGAGATATTCCAGAACCATGTGGACATAATCCTGTGCCATGTGCTCTGGGATGACCCTGCCTGAGCAGGGAGGTTGGACCAGATGACCCAGTGGATCCCCTCCAACCTGACCCATCCCGTGACTCTGTGTATTGCTAAATCAATCAATAGGTTTTTTTTTTTTCCACCAGAAATTCTAAACTAATAGCAGTTCGTCTCTTCGTGGAGACCTGTTTTGGGTAACAGTGGCTATAAGAGCCGCACTCCTCCCTGCCGGGCCCAGGTGTGCGCGATGGCGGCCCGAGCCCGCCGGCCCCGCGGGACTGCATGTCCCGGCGTGCGCCGCGCGCCCGGCCCGGCTGAGGGCGGCGCTGCCGGGGCCGCGGCGGGGCCCGCGGGCGGCGATGCCGCTGTGGCTGCGGGAGTTCCGCTGGCACCAGAGCCCCACCGCCGTGTTCCTGTCGCTGCCCCTGCGCGGCGCCCGGGCCACCCCCGCCAACATCTTCTGCTCCGAGCGATACCTGAAGGTGGGCGGCGCGCCCCGCTCCCCTCGGGCCTTGTGCCGCTGCCCGAGAGGTGCCGCGTTGCTCCGCAGCTCTGCTGAACAGCACACGCGCCGCACACCATGGCAACGCTCTCCAGTTCGTGGTCTTATAGCCTTTATAATCTCCCTCTCTGTCCTGCAGGCTGTTGGATGCCCGTCCCGCGACAGATAATGGCTTTACCCCTGCTCGTTGTCTGTACTAACGCTCTTGCTACTCAACAGGTGTCACCTGCCTTTACTGTCGCATAAATGGACTGAATTATACACATCTGCTTATACTGTGAATAATAATTCTGAGGTCCATGGCTTCTGTCGGAGTACTGAAGAACCAAGTTTTTCAATCTCTTTAATAAAAAGGTTGAAATGTATTGAAATAATAAAAATATAGCCTTGTGAAGACCCACCCTTGAGGGGAAGGAAGCACCTTCCCTGGGCCTGAACAAACCTCTATACTGGATACAAAGCACATTAGTTCTGTCAATAGTATGTGTTTCTTAAGGTTTACTGTGTGCTTGTGCTGAGTGTTTTGAATATGTGAGAGTTATAAAAATAGTACAAATTATATTTTTGTAGGTAAGCATCCCTCCCTTTTTATTTGAAGTTATTTTGTATGCTCCTATTGATGACACAAATAGCACAGCAAAGATCGGAAATGGAAACATTTTCTTCACTTTGTATAAAAAAGAACCGGCCATGTGGGATTCCCTAACCCTAGAAAATGGTAAGTTCTCTATTCTGAAAATTAGATTGCCTGTAAGAAACCTGTTCTGAGCCAACACTTTACAAACTGTCATGTGAAACTCTTGCTGGTAGATATCTGCTCAGTTAAACTTTGTTATTAAAAATAGAGAGTATGTGAGAACAAAGAATATCTACTGAATCACTTATGAAACAAAACAATGTTTCTTGTAAAACTTATATTTTGTGTGTAAGCAAATCTTAATTTTTCTCTTTTGGAGATGGGCTTGATAAACACTTTTGTGGAATTGGAGCATGTTGCATTTTTCCACACAAAGTAGCAGAAGGAATCCTGTTTTTATGAATATGATACATACCAGTAGAACTCCAGGCCTAAATGACTAAAATAGTTTTTATTTATTTTTTTAAGCTGACAAGGAACAACTGCAATATCTAAGAGAGAATGCTGTTCTAAAAGCCCAACAAAAGGCAAAAGAGGAGACAGAAGCAAAAAAAGCTACAAAAGAGGAACACAAAAAATATGCTTTGGAGGCCACAATGAAGGTAGGTTTAGAAAGGAGCTCTATAAGACACATACATGTAATAACTGCCAACTAATCTGGCATCTGCTTGGTTCAATGTACTTTAAAAAATATGAAAAGTACTAACTTTTATTATAGTGATGGTAAACCTTGTTATTTCTTTGCACTTAAAACACATTTATTACTAAATATGAAATTGATACAGGAAAAGTACTCAGAAGTTACCATTTTCCATTAGTAATACTAAAGAAAGTTTTTGGTGAGGAGTTCAGATTTTTGTCAGTTGAAAGGAGAGTACAGTCATGTACGAAAACTGTAGTCTGGTGTGGCCTTTGCATCAGTGCAGGTGTTTAGTCATTTAGCACTGTCAAAAATACTGATTGGAAAAAAATCTTATTTATTGCATTGTTATATTTTTACAACAGACTTGCTGTTCATTGTCTTTTTTGTGTTTGCATGTTTGTCATTCTGCTTTTTATGTCTCTTCTTTTAAGGTATGTTCTTCAAAGTTTTTATGTATGTAAAAAGTCTGGTCACTTCATTTGTGTTTAAAAGGATTAGTTAAAAGATGAGAGTTGTAAAGGCTAATCCGAAATGTTTGCTCTCTGTCATTTTTAAGCATCTTAGTTAATTCTGCTTGTATGGTCACACATTATGCCTGGGGAAATAATGGTAGCTTTTACTTAGTCATTGTCAGCATTATCAGATGAAACATCTGATGTCAGAGGTTTATTGTTCAAACAGCTAGAAGAAGCAGAAAGAAAAAGAATTGAAGATCTGAAAGAAAAGGAACGGCAGAAGGTCACTGAAGAGTTGGAGTTATGGAAAAACCAGCAAAAGGATGCTGATAAATACAAAAGCATACAAAAAGAAGGGGAATTACATCAAGAAATAGGGCAATTAAAAGGGAGGAAAAATGAAAAAATGACCAAAACTAGAATTCCTAATGAAGGAACTTCTAAGACCAGACCCAAACCCACAAAAGGTTGTATGATTGAACTGTACTTTTAATTGTTTAAACTGTGGATATAACTTTATTCCTGGATATTTCTAATTCATTATTTATGTTTGTCTCCACCATATTGAGCCAGTGCTTTTTGTCTGCAGTTATTTTGAAGTATTTTCAGGCAATTTATTGAGCTCAAGCATGTGAGTTCTTAGCTGTTGTTTAAATCTTTGGATACAAGAGCAGGTTTTGTTCTAAGCTTTAGAAAAGTAAACCAGAAAGCCTTTCTGAGGGTGTAATGCAGACTTTCTGGGGATGGATATCCTGTAACCCAAAGTTACCTTACTGCTGCATTTCACAGAAATATACAGTCTCCTTTCACTCTCTCTATCCCACATCTTGGCCCTATGGAGAGCCAAGCCAAGGAATTAAAACAACAGAAAATATTTCATTTCTTGGTTGTTTGCTTTTATAGGTTAGTTTTAACTTTTGGTGATTGTCAGAGCATTATACAAGTGACAGAGATAGAGGTGTAAGAGGAATTTAAGTTCATTTGTGACAGATGCTCTATCATTCCATTTATTTAGTGGCTACATTAATAAGAAACATTGTTTGAACCTTCCCTTCAAAAGAACAAGTCGAAACCTTTCTCAAGTTATTAGAGGTTTAATCCTAATGTGCTGCATTCCTAAATTAGGTGTACTTTGGACTTTGGTAGAAAACCAGAAAATTCTCTTTGGCTTGATTTTTATTATTTCCAGTATTCCAATTCTTTTCACAGGTCATGGTTCCTGTAGTATATTTTCACCAAATGTAAAGGAAGAACAGCTACCAGCTCCTCGATCTGCTGCTACAATTAAAGTCAACTTTACCCCACGAGTTTTTCCTACAGCTCTGCGAGAATCTCGCGTCGCGGAAGAGGAGGAGGTAAAGTAGTGAATTGTTTGTTGTGTATTCACCAAGCTGACAAAAATGGTACCCGTGCCAAGGAATGTAACCTGTGCTATATATCTTCCAAGGAAGGCAGTCATATTTAAATTAAGATATAAAGAAATAGTTTTATATAAAAATTATTTTCACCATGTGATAGTGCAGGTTAATAAATAGCATGTTCCCTTTTTGGGGGAGGGGTGGGGAAGGGAGAAGGCAACAATATTAATTTAATTCCTTGAAGTACAAAATTTGAAATGTCTTTACTCTTATGTTTAAGATTCTTTAAGTTTTGTCTTAAAAAGAAGCTCACAGCTCTTTCAAGCTCAACACAATGAATACAAAGTAATTTTGGAAGATTAAAAACAAACAAGTAAACCAAAAAGTGTTAGTGATGCAGTAACCTGACTTTTCATGGTAATAAAATACTTGGGAAACTGAAGTTTTTCATATCTGATATTATTAAATATTTTTCTCTGTCCAAAATATGTGGCCAATAGAATTCTTTTGATAGTAGTGAGTGAAGAGATAAAATCCATTTTTGGATTTGAATTTTTCCTTCAGAAGGAATGCTTGCCCATTTTGTACTTACAGTGGTTACATAAACAAGCAGAAGCTCGAAGAACAATAAGTGCTGATTTGTCTGAGCTGCAAGATCTAAAAGAAGAGGAGAAGAATCCAGATTGGTTAAAGGACAAAGGAAAGTAAGTTAGATTCTACTTGAAGATATATTGAAACTTACACTAGACAAACACCATTATAATTAATTTTGATATTTTCTATTATTTATCCTAAACACAGATGGTGAATGTCTATAGAGTAGTCATAATAGAGACTTTATAGTCAGCTTATGGAGTTTGAATCTGATAAAGTCATGAGATGCAATTGTTGAAGCCTGTGATGAACAAAGTCATTGCAAACACATCGTGCATATTCTTCTTTGAAGACAGTTGAGGCAGTGCACTGTTATACCTAGGTGGATTTCCTTTCATTTGAACTTTTTAGGAAGAGGTGAAACACCTGCCTAAAACAAACTTAAGGAATTTTATAAAAATGCTGGTTTATTTATATAGCTGTGTTATACAGAAAGGTTTGATTAGGCAGTCAAATACACAAAGCTTTCAAAACTAGTCCCATGTCTGCAAAACTGTGTCCACCTCTCACAGTTCTTTGCTGCTTGGAAGCAGTGACTTTTTATTGTGTTGTATTGACAGCACCAAGTTGGACTGAACTATAGCTGTGATGTTCTCAGAAAAGGCTATAAATATGCATTTCCAAGGAGAAGATGCTAAAACTTCGAATTTTTGAAAATGAATTGTTAGTAATAAGCAGGTATTTATCTTGTGTTATCACCTTCTTTAAAGTGCATGTTTTACTTTCTGTTTAACACTTTTAGCAAAATGTTTGCAATGGGAAACTATCTGGCAGCTGTAAATGCCTATAACCTCGCACTGAGGCTGAACAACAAGCTTCCCCTGCTGTACCTGAATCGTGCTGCTTGCCACCTTAAACTGAGGAATTTACACAAAGCTATTGAAGATTCCTCTAAGGTATAAAAAATACTGTCATCTTGTGCATTATTGTGATGTATTACTGTGATGTTTCTGTTTTAAGCAGATCTGAAAAGACATATTAGTGCAATTCAAAATTTTAAAATTCAAACTTGATATAATGAAGCCGTGGTGGAATACTGAAATTTGATAGTGATTAATGAACTTTCAGAAATTTAAAGCAAAATAACAATTTAAAAAACTCTAAACCATGCTTCTCCACATTTGGGACAAATGGCCAAATGTTGACTAGCACATGTTTCTTTACAGATAAAAATATTGTAGCAATATACACACTTGAAAAAACCCACAACTTGGAGCAGAAAAAAAAACCAAAACAAAATATACACAGATATCTTTTTTGGTACATTGTAGTGTGCTTCAGTTGGTTGGAAGGAAAAATAAAGGTGTGGTGGTGATGAGCAGGAATACCTTAAAAAAACCCCAACAAACCAGACATTTTAAAATAAGAGCTGTATCACCTAGATGTTTTAGCAGCCATTATTTGTGCAATGAGAGGAGTGATCTCAAATGGCACCCGAATAATGTGGAGGAAGTTTTGCCAGAATTATTATTTTTTGAACTAATAAGTACTTGAATTTTGATTGTTTTGTTTTTTCCTAGTAACCACTACTAACACAGAGGTGCTTTTTTTAGGGCTGCTTTTTTTTTTTTTTTTTAATAACATGGGATGTAATATTGTGTAGGAAAATAGAACATTATTTGACTGAAATAAACATTTAACATAGCATTTGTCAGTTTTTAGCCATGGCAGTGTAACTGTAGTTAGCACACTGGGGTGATGGATACAAATCTTAATGAATAGATTCGCAAGGCATATAGTTTGAATTTGAATAGTTATTTCCTATTTCTATTTGAATAGTTATTATGTTACTGTATAATAATAGTAATTAGGTGAGAGAAGTGTGTGTAAACTAGAAAACCCCTAAAATTATGGATAATCTTCTTCTAAATACTTTGGGTGTTCTCATTTGTAAAGGCACTAGAACTGTTGACACCACCTGTTCCTGATAATGAGGACGCTCGAATGAAAGCCTATGTGAGACGTGGAACAGCCTTTTGTCAGCTGGAATTATATACTGAAGGTGAGGCCTTGATTTTATGAAAGCATGCACATGAATTTATAGTGACAAGCAAGTAATTCTGTTTAGTTCAATGACACTGCTCACACCTTTATGTTTTCAGGAATGACTTTGAAGGAGCCCTATACAATCTATGTGTTTGTTATGAACCTTGATATCACATTCCTTAATTTATTTTTTTTTTAATTTTGCTGGCTGGTTGCAATTCGACTTGAAAAATCTTGAAAAATACCTGAATTAGCAGTGTCCCTACTGAGTTCTTCAAGAGTATCAACTTAGTTTTGTAAAGCAAATTTACGAGTGAAAGCTGATAATAGAAATTGAAGAATATTCAACATGACAGTATTGAAGTGCTAAGCTTTGGCCATTCTTTACTTTTTTGTATCTATGAATCACTTTGTCATTCCCTTACAGCTTCATTTGTACCTGGAAACCTTTGGAAAAAGATAATTAAACAAGATTTTACTTCCTGTACTCATTATTTGCTCCTCCTCCCCCAAGCTCTAGTATTCACAGTTCATGTCTTTTTTTCTTACTTTCACACATTCATTTCTGTCATTCATTTTTCCTCTCTTCTGCAGAACACTTAAGAACACTCCTGTCATGCACACACATATATATAGGTATATATATGTGAATGAAGAGACTCTGCTTTCATGTTTTAAAACCTGAAAGGTTTATGTAGTAGAGTGTTTCCACTAAAATGTTTATAAAATAATGTAAGTTTATTTACTGGCAAAAGGTAAAACTCAAAATCAATACTTCATGCTTATGACTAGGGAGCAGTTATTTCCAGGTGGTTGCTAAAGAGGATGCTCTTGCATTATTGATTGACATTCTTATTAATGTATCTATATTAGGTCTCCAGGATTATGAAGCAGCTCTCAAGATTGATCCTAAAAATAAAAATATAGAAAAAGATGCTGAGAAGATTCGACACCTAATTCAAGGAACAATGCAAGGTTCTTAATTAAAAAACCCATAAAAAAAGAAACTTTGTCAGAGATGCCTTTCGAGGACATCAAAAAGAATCTTATTTCTTTTCAGTATGTGTTAACTAGACACATTTTGTTTCACTCAGAAATACCTACAGAATTGGTAATGGATTGGATATATGAATTACTTTTTTTGGAAAGTATATTATAACAAACATAATTAGATATTTTATCTCATTTTGATACAGAGTTGTCATATTTTTGCTTTTTGTTAGCATTTGTGTTACCGTGAAAATCTGTAACACTTGATTTGAAGCTGTTCCATTATGTTAAGTGTTCTTTTCAACCTGTGACCATATCAACTACGCTTCTTTCAGTAGCAGTTTTAGCAGACTTATGAATTTTCCACATCAGTCTGTTTCCTGTATACCATTTATGACTGATTTCTGTCTTTCTAATAAAATATTTATTATGCATATAGATATATATATATATTATTCTGTACAAATTCTATATTCTTGGAGCAGGGAGAAGGTTGCTTCCAGCTGCTTTAGTTAGAGCCTTGAGAGGAGTGCTGAGGTCAGTCAGAGGTGTCTGGCATAGTTGCTGTCTTTCCTACAGATACCTATTGCATTGCTGGAAGGGGCTGCAAATACTCTTTTATAGCAGCTGGAAGGAGGGCAGTGCAGGAGCTGTAGTGCCTCAGTTGAGTGGAATGCTATACTTGCCACAATATGGGTATTTTATATAATTACTGATGGGAAGTAAGGGCTAAGGAGGAGACACATTGGCAGTGGGAGAAAGAAAATGCAAAGAAGCAAGTGCTGGCTGTAAGTTCACCATTTTTTTCCCCCCTTAAAAGGGAAGCAAGTGTGCTTGGTGGCATCAATAATATCTGCCTGTTTTATCTGATCATATTGGGAGCAAATGCATGTTAAACCTTTAACTTCAATACCTGAGCTGATGGTGCGTTCACCATATCTGAGCCATGTACGTTATGTTGGTATTTAATGTCCTGAGATGTAAGAATGTGGAGGCTGATTTTTAAAACCAGAAAATACTTAAGTTAAAACAGGTAAACCTTCAGGTCAATGTCTCTTGCACTTAACTCTTTCTAAAGTTAGAGTTCCACATTTATGAGACCAGTTACAAGAGTTTTGGGTTTAGGTCTGATTTGGAGAACTGTATCATCAAATGGGCTCCATCCTTTTTGATACATCTTACTCAGCCTTTCAACTAACAGGACAAAGCATTGCAAACTTGTTCAGTGTTTGTGGTCAGAACAAATATTGCTCAAGATGTGTACTGAAATACATGCATGGTGGAGAGTGAGGAACTTAACACTTTGACCTTATTTAGTAAAGTGTGGACAGTGATAATTTGACTTATGATGACTATGGAGGATACTAAAATTTGGAATTGGCATTCATTTCTGTATTTGTGATAATCTTGAGCATAGAAGATAATGTGTCGGAAATAATTAGTATAGGTAATAAAGATAGGAATGAGATTAAGAATATAGCGAAGCTTTGTGGATGATGTGTTTTAGTTTTTTCTAATATACAGAAATATGAAAACTAAAGAAACATCCAAGTGACTGTACTTACTCATGTTTACATGCATAATTTTTTTTTATTCTTCTCCTCTGTAGGGAGTGAGTTAACAGATACTTCTTAGTCTGTTTATAGAAAGTGCTCTAGTGCTGTATTGATGAGCATGTGGTAAAAATGCACTGAGTAAGGTACCTCCCTTAGTGTTGCTGAGCAAACCATTGACAACCTGCTGTTCTTCAGAGGTGCCATGAAATCTTTTTTGTTTGTTTCTCAGTCATGTAAGATATGAAGAAAACGTTTAAGTTGCTAGGTTAGATAAACCTTGAGTAAGAAATTCTGACTTTATTACTGAAGCCTGTTGTTGTGTCCCATTTATGTTTTGATCCAGTATTAGAGCACTGTTGGGACCCGAATCTCTGGGATTTTGCATCTGCTCGGTTTGTGCTGTGCCTGTTGATGAAACATGGTCTAGGTGTTTGATGGGTGCAGATAGCCTTATCCCCAGTCTGAGTGGCTCTTGGGACAGGACAGGTTCTCCTGGAGCAGCATGGCCTGTGCTTCTGGGAGACTTTCCAAATTAGTTAATTCCTATCATCAGTTTTTCCACCTGGGACTAGAAGCATCAAATATTTGTGGTCCATACAGGGCACTTTTTGGGTGTGGAGCGGGGTCACGTTTTGGAGTGTTGTTTGCTGGGGCTTTTTGTTTGTTGGTTGTTTTGTTTGGTTTTGGGGTTTTGTTTTGGGGTGTTTGGGTTTTTGGTTTGGGGTTGGGTGGTTTTTTGTTTTGTTTTGTTTTTTTTTTTTTTTGGGGCGGGGGGAGGACGCGTGACTTGTTTTTCCCTTTCCCTAAGTACAAGCCTTATTGGCAGAGTCCCTTCAGCGCTGGGTTGTCTGTGGCCGACTATCCCCTGATTACCCCAGCAAAACGCCCCGCCGCGAAGGAGCCTCTGAGCGACCTCCCCGTCACAAACACGGCCGGGGCCGCTCGGCCCGAGCTCGGCGGCGCGGCGTTGCCATGGCGGTGAGCGGGGCGGGCCGGGCGCTGTGCTGCGCGGGACGCTGTTTGCCGGTCGCTCTGTGGGCGCTGCGGCCGCCGGGGCTCTCGGTTCGCCGCGCTCCCGGGCGCTGCGGCCGCCGGGGCTCTCGGTTCGCCGCGCTCCCGGGCGCTGTGGCCGCCGGGCCGCGGGGGGCGCGGGCCGCGCTCTGCCGGGTGCCGCGGGCGCCGCCCCGCGCGCAGGCGCCGGCCCGGGCGGGCCCGGTTGTTTGTGACGGCGTCAGCGGCGGCCGCGGCCCCTCGTCCTGCCGGGCCCCGCGGGGGCCGCGCTCAGGTAGGCGGCGGGTCCGGCCCGCGGGGAGCTCCCGGGGGCTGCCGTGGGCAGGGGCTGCCCAGAACGGGGCACAGCCCGGGACGCCGGGGCAGCTGCTGGTGGTGCGGGTGAGCGGGGCCGTGCGGGCGGCCGCGCTGCTCTGCGGGGCCGGGCGGGGGTCACTGCGCGGGGGTCACCGCCGTGCGGACCCGGCCCTGGGCGCTGGCGGTCACCAACTTCCTTTGCTCTCATCGTGAGCCGCTGCCGCCCCGGCTGATGCAAGGTGCTCTGTTTCATAAACACCGGCACTGCCGCTTTAACCGCGCTGGCCCCGCGCCGCGCTCCGGTCTGGGTGCTGCGGGGCACCTGTGCGAGAGCAGCGCTGGGCACTGAGCAGGGAATGTCCGGCGCTGGCGCGGCCGGGCTCTTAGAAGTCACATTCGTCTCGCTGGAAATCATAGCCTCTATGGGTTGCTAAATATATTCCTAGAGAAGAATGTTCTGTGGGAAAAAAATTGCCACTGAGCAGAAATATTAAACTTGCAGGAGAACCCTGAAGAGTAATGCCACTAAACCTGGTTTTTTTCTGTTGTGTAACAAAGGAGCTATTGTGGAAGAGAACTGTGAGTTTGTACTTGCAATGACAGCACAGCAAACTCCACAGAACACATCCACATTCCTACTGGTGCCTGTTACTCATCTTTGTCAATGCTTGTTGAAGGTTGTTTTTTTTTCATCTAGGAAATCTTCTTTTTTAAATGATATAACTTAAGGATTTGTTTAGATTGGAGTGGTTATTCTTTCTGAGTCTGGTATTTATTGTACTTCACAGTGGATAAATAGGACGTGGGATCTCATGTTTATTTTTATATAGATAACTGGGCTAACTTGTATTACGTTTGCAACAATGCATATATGGCTGTAAGCTTTTATACCTTATGCTTCTGATTTGCATTTCACTAAGGTTAGGAAAATAGTTCACACTTCTTAATCCCTGCCCCTCCCAATACGTAAAGTTGAACTCTGAATATAATGGATATTTATTTTGGCTAGATAGAAATTAAAAAGGTGGTGTCAGTAGTGGCAACGAAGATATCTAGTGAGAATACAAAACCAGTGAAACTGTGTTGGGGGTGTGGGTTTTTTTTCTTTTTTTTTTTTTTTTCCCCCCCAAGTCTTTCCTTCTGACTTAGCCTGACATATAGGAGATGTGTGACACTACTGTATCTTCGAGTTATCCCTGCTGTTATTGGTCTGGAACCCATTAATGTCATCTGGAATCGTTAGGAAGTTTGCAGGCTTCATGTGCGTTTAATTCCTTAGTAGCTCAAAGCTACTTTCTCAACATCACTTGCATTCAGGAAGTGCCAACCATATCCAGCACCTTTAGGCTGGTAGGGAGAGCATACTGATTCTTACTGGGTCTTTATGATTTGGTGGAGAATCAGGCTGGTGAAGATTTTGTGAGTGGATCAGTGTAGCCATTGGGTTCAGAGTAGTCTTCCGTATTTCAGTTTACTTAAGGGACTGGATTTGACCTCAGATTTAATTATGACTGTGTGTGTTATTAATCTCTTACAGAAATAAGCTGTTTAGCTGATGATTGAAGTTCAGGAACTCTGTACCTAGGTAATTTTTTTAATTAAAGTTTTTAAGCTGCTTTGATCTTTTCGACCTAACTAATTATAAAATGCTTTACTTTTGATAACTGTTTTACAGATATATGTGTATTCCTACAATGTACGTGTAGGAATGCATTGACCCTAAAGATGCCCTTCAGTCTGATGCTGAGCTATCTATGTATCATCATTTGGCTAAATTTAGCAATTCTACCTGCAAACCTCAGTGGTTTTGTAATTATTCCTTTTTTATTCCATTATTTTTCTTGATATTAAAAACTTTTCTGTTTTGGAGGCTGATCACCTGTATGCAGTTACACAATATTAATATAATATTCTGGTTGAATACAAGGTTTTAACTCAAAGTCATGTATCAAGGTGAGCAAGCGATAGAAAATAATGGTGGTTTATCTGCTTCTTTCTCTGTTTTTTTAATAATCTTTTTGATGATGTCAGTACCCACACAGTTAGGTCCTGAAACTTGTGTTTGGGAAGGGAAGATGGATGTTTACGTGTGTGTTCAGTAGAGTTGAGTTTGTGCAGTGCTCAGTTACCTGCCAGTCTGTGCTGTGGATGGGGAGGGAGAGCAGGATGGCATTTGGGTTAACTTTGCCAGGGCCCAGGAGGAAATGCTGGGGGAGCTGGAGGAAGACAAATGTGACAAGATCCAGCCCAGAGTCTGCTGTTAAAACCTGTCCTTTCAACATCTGCAGATGCACTTGTATCAGAAACTGGTGCTGGTGACCTGAAGTTATCTTTTAAGAATTCACTTCTTGCAGTGTAGCCAGCGATGTTTCTGACAGGTGATGAGTTCTGGGGCTGGTAATTACCTTCCTCTGAAAGGAATGCTGCTGCTCCTGCTGGATGCCTGGGCAAATTGAGAATAACTAATGACAGCAAGCACATGCCATTGTCACTCTGGAACACAGCCTTTGCCATTTGGGCATTTGTTATTTTCCAGATTGAAGAACTATGATTTTTAAATAAATCTCGATTAAAAAAAAATTGATTATATGCAGTATGATTGAAAAAAACACAAACCAAAATACATTCCCCCCACTTCCCCCTCCCAAACCTGACATTCCCTAATTGAGATTCCAGGAAAAGCACTAATGAAGGAAGAAAAAGATCTGCAGGAAGATGACAATCATATTCAAATTAGGGCTTTATAAAAAATAGAAATTCAGTTTCTCTGTAAGTTTGATACCTAAGTTGATTATTAGTTGTTTATTTAGTTGATATCAGTTGATTATTTTTCTTTATAAACTGTGTTTGTGATGGTCATCATTGCCTTTTTTACAGAGGTACTGTAGATATGTTAATTGAAGTTAATGAGAAAAAAGCATTATCTTAGAAAAACATACAATAACTACCATAGTGCAGAGATAGGAGATAGATGTTTACTGTATTTTGTAAGAAAGCTAAGTGGAATTGGAAGTTTTGTATTTTACTGTGCCAATTTCTGGCCACACTGGCGTATTTGGAAGTGTCATTCAAGGTTTATGTATGTTTTCTGTGTTAACAAACTGGGAGTAAAGACAGGAGAATAAAGTAGAGTAAATAAATTTTCTCTGTGTTCATACTAGAAGTAGCTAGGTGTGGGAAATAAAACAGGTGTCTGAAATTCTCAGAAGTTTTATTGAACCATGATTTCTTTTGATGTCTTATTAACATTGATGCATAATGAAACAGGCATGTTGTTGATTGGAAATTGTTCAGTTTTGGGAAGATTTTTTTTCACCAAGATGAATCTATGATAAATTTTATTTAACAACTTGATACATTTTTATTTCAAGGAATTTTAAAGTCATTTTGCTAGTTAAGAACCTCAGAAATTGATCTGAATATGCAGCAATAATGAATACTCTGTATTCCCAGTAAATTCCTGGTGAAAAGGGGAAAAAATAAACAGGCAACCGCAGTTGGACAGTTTTCTTCTGAAAGTCGCCCTCAGGAGTGTTGTAACAACTAAAATTTGTACTTCAGGTTGTTTTCATTTTAGTTTTGTACTTGTCAGGTACTCTCTCAGTTTTCCTCAGAATGAGTGCGTTTGAGAGCTCTTGGAAGGAGTGACAGAAACACCAAACATTGCTTTTGCCCAGTAGTTGGAGAGAATTAGTTTCAGAAGATCCAAATTTGTGTCTTCTCAAAAAAACCCATGGTGTTTTTCTTGAATAAACTGTAGTTCCTGTGCATGTAACAATCCAGAAATTATTTCACATACTGAATCATCCTTAAAACAATGACACTACAGACAGATTTTAACTTTGATTATTGATTTATTGACTAGTTTTGTGTGTATGTGTTTGCTCTGAGAGCTTTTTGGCTGGCTGACGTAGATGTGTACTTAGCAAAGCTCTGTTTGCTCCAAGTATAAAAAAAATAATAGGAAATAAGTACAAAAGAATATATTTTCTTTTTAAACTTTTATTCTGTTTTTTTCCCTAAATTCCAGAATAACAATTTGTGAGTTAATATACTGTTCTGTAACAGTGTGATTTGGATTCTTCTGTGTTCTTTATTATTTTTCTTTTTTGAGAGACCAATGAAATTCTATGTCTTGCGTATTAAAAGAATCTACTTTTACTTGCAGCGTGTTTTGAAAATGTCTGAAAATTCCAGTGATAGTGATTCCTCCTGCGGCTGGACTGTCATCAATCATGAGGTACCTGTTTCAAATTAG